AGAGAGAGAGAGAGAGAGAGAGAGAGAGAGAGAGAGAGGAGGGAGGGAAGAGAAGAAGGGAGGAAAGGAGGGGGGGAAGGAGGGAGGGAAGGAAGGAGGAAGAGTATGTTCCCTCCCAAAGCTTGGGGATCATTTCAGAAGAGGCAATGGAGAGTATCAGGGCCAGAGGCAATTAATGATGACAAGAAGGCTGTCTTCTGGACACAGCAGGGCATCAGCAAATATAAAATTACAGAGTAGGACAGCATGCATAAGCCTTAACCAAGCCAAATCCTAACATGGACAGGAAAGTTATACATCCAGTCCTGCTGCTAGCTTAAGAGCAGCAATTGCTAGCCATTGAAGAGGCAAAATGAGTTTTTCTAAGGGTTTAGTCAGCCTCTGGTAAGTTTGACCACATTCCAGTTGAAGCCCATACATCCAAGGATACTGGACAGCACAAACTGGTCTTGACAGGTTTAAAAAAATAAAAGGATACAAGGTTGGATGGATAAGGAAGTGGGGGTGACTCTTGGAAAAATATGCAGAAGGGAGTGAATGTGATTAAAATGAATGTAATTCTCAAAGAACTAATAAATTCTCTATCTATCTATCTATCTATCTATCTATCCATCTATCTATAAGCGAAAGCTCTTGGATTAAAGGTGTGTGCTAGGGCTGAGCCACAGCACAACTGGAAACATGTTGGGTTTTTTCCAGTAAACAACACAATCTTGGGGCTCAGTGTGATCAAATATCCTGGAATATTTCATCTTTCCAGGTAGGACTTCTCTGTTTAGCACTGCCTGTCCTGGAATTCAATTCTATAGACCAGGCTAGCCTCGAACTCAAAGATCCTCCTGCCTCTGTCTCTCAAGTGCTGGAACTAAAGGTATGCACCACCACCACTGGGCTTGATAAACTATTTTTTAAAAGAATATCAAACTGACTTTATATTGCTGTAAAATGGGACAACTATTCTTGCAAGGTTATAAGAATTAAGTCCATGTAGGATCTGAGGCAGAGTCCTTCTTATTATGCCTTTGCCAAATTTGTTCTCATTATCCTGCCTCTGGTCTTATGGTCATATTGAAAGTTCTACCTGCCTTTATATTGCCACCCAGTTACAACTAACTCAGCATCGTCTTTCTGCCCCAACCTTCTTCATTTGATTTATTCTTTCTGAGATATCATCACTTGCTCCAGATAATCTGAGCTCTTCTCCTATCAGTCATTAAAACCTACTTTAGCCAGTGTTCCTTTTCTCAGGAAATGGTAACTTTGACAATCCAAACCAAAGCTTGCCATTACCCAAGACTATCAGATCTTCCTCTCTACCTCAAAGTATTATTTTTTGCCACACAGACTAATAGAGCTGTCTCCCAATTGGGCTCTCTTTCCTCTTCACTTCCTTCAGGCTACCCTTCATACTATATTTCAAGTGATCCTGTTTGAAACAAGTTTGATCATATCATTCCTGTTCAAAAATTTTTTAAAGTGGCCTCACAACTTATTTTCTTAAAAGTATATCTACTATGTACCAGGCTTTGTAAAGGTATTAAAACAAAAGTTGGTTGCCCTACAGAACTCCCCTTATAATGAGATGGGTGTGGGATATGAATTATAACCAATATAATATACTAAACTATATAAACGCTTTGGAGACAAATGAAATGGGTAGGAAACACAAGCAGACTGTGGGTGTTGACTTTGAATGGGGTAAAGCATTAGGGTCTTCCTAGCAATATTTTGAAGCAAGGACGTGAATAAACAGTAGGAAAAATGAGCTAAGGAAAATGTCTAAAGGGAAGACTCTCTCAAGTAAAACATCAAGAATATAGACTTTGAAGCAGAGACCTGCAATACATGTCTAAGGTATTTATCATAAGGAAACCCTCGTGGTTATCTGCAAGAATGATTTAGAAAATAAAAGAACTGAAGTCAGAGGTCAAACTTAAAAGATGCATGTCTACAGAATGGCCTACAAATCTCTAGATCAGACGATCCAATCCAGCAGACACCTGGCACATGTGGATATTAAAACTTTATTCAAATGCACATAAAAATTTGAAATTAATTCTTCAGTTTAATTAGTCCTTCAGTTTTACTACCACACTGCAAGATCTCAAAAGCCAGATGTGGACAGCGGTTGATGTTGGCAATACAACAATATTTTCATCATCTCAGAAATCCCCTTGGGCAGGGTTTGAGTCGGTGGCTCACCTGGGCATGATTTTCCTTCTCAGGGATCATTTGTTATTCTGGAGGTATTTTCACTTGTATCAACTGAGAGTAGGGGTACACCTTTCTTTGTGGAAATGTAGAGGTGGTGTTAAGCATCCTGCAACCTCTATAACAATAAATTACCCTGGCCCAAATCTCAATTGTTCTGTATTTAGAAAAGACTCTAATCGAAATCCAGTTTCTCCTTCTAATACGCACAGCACAAATCACTTTCTACAAAAGGTGTTTGTGTATATGTATTTTCCCCACACCAACCAAGGGACTATTAACTGCATTGGAGGACATCAACCACTAATTCAAATCTCATGGCAGGCAGATCCTGCAGCTAGAGGCGCAGTTCCAAGACTGTGTGGCACCTTGCCCCTCCAGCTCCACATTAGATGCAAATCTGAAGCCCCAGGTTGTTTCAGTTGTACTTAATGACCAACCAGCTGGCAACTGGGGTTCCACTACATCCTTTTTGGGCTCAGTTATAAATCTATTTAAAAGGCTGCGAAGCGTGGGATCACGGAGAAGCAGGTTATAGTGCTTTTAAAACATTTTCTCCCTATAGTGTTTAGAAGTGTAGCCGAAATTTTGTAGCTAAAGAATATCAAAGTGCTGGCTCACCTAACTCAGAGATGACCAGAAGAGGACAGACTTTCAAAGTTCCCGGGCCTTAGAGGGGAGTAGCACCTCCACCTGCCAACCCTGGGGTATGATGGAAGCTCGCTTGTGCTCTTGCCTCCTCCATCAGGCACGCGCGCATGCGCTGCACTTTAAGTCGCCCTTTCGGAGGAGGCTGTGCCGGTGAGTTTAAAAGTTCATTTCTAGCCAACCCTCCAGCGGAAGGATGCTCAGGACACTTTTTTAAAGTGCGAACTGTAGAAGTCTACTCCAATATAAGCCGGAACCACAAGTCCCGATCACGTTTCCACGCTGTGTTTCTGAGGAAGCACTTCCGCCCAGGGGGGGGCTGGAATATCCGAGTCCCTTCCGGCACTTGCGATTGCTTGAAAAGGCACTTCCGGTGTCTGTTGCCAAGGCGCCGGCCGGCCCGCGGGCCGTGAGGGCGACATTGGTGGCGTCGTCCTCTGCCCCCTTCTCCGGGGGCAAGATGTCCGGACTCAGCCACTTAGAGTCGGAGGGCTGCCGAAACCTACTCAGCATGCTGGACAATGACGAGATCATGGCCCTTTGCGACACCGTCACCAACCGCCTGGTGCAGCCTGTGGACCGCCAAGGTAGGCGCCGGCATGGGGGCTCGTCACCCCCAGGTTCGGGTCAGGTCTGGAGAGGCGGCCCCGCCCAGGTTGTCGCCGAAGCCGCGGGAAGGCCTCTCTGGGCTATGGCTGCTCAGCTCTGCTGTCTCCTCGCCGGCCGGCAGAGCCGGGTCCAGGGGCGCTGGTGGGTCGGACAGTGGTATTGGCCGGGTAAAGCTTAGTTGACATATTGACCCAAGTACCAGCTGAGCCATTTTTTCATGATTTTCAGGAAGTCCCAGAGTGTGTTTCAGTTTTCAGTTTTGATTTCCGAGGAGATCAGTCAGCTCTTGCTTTCTTTTCTTTCAGCCCGAAGAGAGTGTAATAAACACCTTTTGTGGGTATCTTAGGCAAATACTCACTGAAACAAACAAAAGGCAGACAGTTTTAATCCACATATGTCAAGGAATGTTCAGTCTCTATGTTCTACATTCTTAGTTGAGAAGTGGCAAGACCACCAATTTTTTTTAATAATAAAAAAAGATTGTATAAAAGACACAAAGAATATACATTAACAAATATCCTAAATACATTAGTGAAACGAATGTTGCTGAAAAGAAAAGAATAGGAATGACAAACAAAACAAAAAGAAGAACACAAACCTCCAAAACAAACAAATTTAGTAGCTACCCTGAAATGGTTGGGAAAAAGATGATAGCATTTTCAGGGAAGTTTAAAATGGGGGCATTAAACATCCTGTGTGTTTGTGGACTAAGATCTTTGGAAGATAGGTGTAATGAGTGCATTTTCTTTTTTTTCTTTTTTTAAATTCTTGCTATTTTGCAACAGTAGTATATCGAAAGATATTTGGACTGTTTTCAGCCTGACTTTTAGTTTAAAAACAGTGTCTTGATTCTGTCGTTTCCCAGCTCTGATTATCTGTAGAATCAGAAGTTTGACCACATTCCTTGGTATCAACTATTGTGATTTTAATCATTTTCTCAAGGGTTGTGGATCTTAGGTATTTGGGGCATAGAAATAAATTTTTTCTGGGTCATAAACTTCCACTGTGTAGCTCTGGCTGTCCTTGACTCACTCTGTAGACCAGGCTGGACTCAAACTCAGAGATGTGCCTGCCTCTGTCTCCCACCACTACCACTGTCTTGCAAGGTAAAAGAAATTTAGGTCTAAAAGATTAAAAAAGCAGAAAAATGGGTAAGATAATTCTTGCTTTTCAAACCATAGCCGTGTTATGTAAAAGTAAGAATCAGGACAAGAGCTTAAATAATTTCAATAAAATTGTTGCTGATGTTGGACAAATTTACAAATGCCTTGTAATTGTCTATTAACTGTTGTTACTTTTTTTTTTCTAGATGCTATTCGTGCAATATTAGTATATAGCCAAAATGTAGAAGAACTTCTGAGGCGCAAGAAAGTCCACCGAGAAGTCATATTTAAGTATTTGGCAACACAAGGAGTGGTTGTACCTCCAACTACTGAAAAACACAATCTTATTCAGTATGCAAAAGATTACTGGGAAAAACAGTCACCCAAACTGAAGGAGGCAGCAGAGCCAGTTACAAAGACAGAGGACATCCAACTCTTTGAGCAGGTATACTAGATTTGTGCGTACGTTCTAAATCCCTGTTCTGTCTGAAACTGTACAATCCTGGCTCTGAGATACATGGTTCATAGTCCATTTGTTTTCCCGGTCTCTGTCTCCTTTACATACTTCAAGACCATGAAAGTTACTTAGAAACAGACTATTTCTCAGATTTACCATTGTGTATGTAATCTATTGAATTGGTATATTCCTTTTTCCATAAATGAGAATTATTATATGTTTGTAAAGTATGCTATATGAATATTTTTATTTTACACAAAGCAGGAAAGTTCCTGTAAGTGCCCTATTTCATTTTATAAGTCTACTTTAGGTAGCCATGTAAAACTTTCACTTTAGAAATTAAAAAAAAAAAAAATTCCTCTTTTCTTCAGTTAATCCTGGTTCCTCTCAGGTATGTGTGTATATTAAATATTGAGTACTTAATTTTAATTGACTGAACTCTGGATAACTTCTGATCTTTTCTATTAGGAAAGGATATTTTAAGCTCTTGTGTGCTTAATATTCTGAAAAAAATGCTCATTGCAATTTACTTTACTAAAAAGAAAAAAGAAATGGTCATTATGTTTATTATAAAGATAGGGAAAATATACTTAAATATCACATATCATACCAAATATATTGAATAGCAGGTACTTTATTTAGTATAGATTGAGGCATAGTATCTTATTCCTGGTGAAGTACTATATTTAGAAATGTTTAGAAGCATGAGATCTAGTTTATAGGATTTGTTTTTATAGTAATATTCCCTTTTAATTAAAAAAAAAAAAAGAAAAAGAAACAGTAGCTGGGTAGTGGTGATTTATGCCTTGAATCCCAGCACTTGGGAGTGGGGAGAAGCAGAGGCCAGTGGATCTCTGTGAGTCCTAGGGAAGCCTGATCTACATGTCGAGTTCAAGGACAGCCAAGGCTACACAAAAACTCTGTCTCAAAAACCAAAACAAAAATGTATTAATTCCAGTCATGGAAAATTACCCATTTCAGTTATCTTTGGAAGTATGTATGTGTTTAAAGAAAGTAGGGAGGCATTTTTAAAAAACAATTCTGACAACATGGTTAGAAAAAAAAAAGTCATTTATGCTAGAGCAGATACCATGAGTGCCAAGAGCTTTATTAAGTACTTTTCAGAATTTGTGATGTTAGAAAAATGCCCAAATTTCTTATGAGTTTTATTAATTACTGTAGTTGTCTTATTTTATCCCCTTTATTTACAGTCCATAAAGGATCCATCTGAAGTAATTGTAAAGTTTTGAGAGTTGTGTATAATCAGTTCTGAAAATCATGCACAATCATGCACATTATCATTGACTGTTCGTGCTGATATATTTTAAAGAGCTTTGTTCATTTCTTATTTTTGTAAACTTCTAGGACCAAGTTCATGAGCATTAACTATAACATCCCTGTATTACAGTTTCATAATTGGTTTTGAAGAGACAGGATATCAGAATAGGTAGAATGTTCCAAGCTTGTAACCTGGCATACAGAGATAAGAAACTTGGTGATTGCAAGCTCCAGATCAGTTTTGGATACATAGTAGATTCTTTCATAGAAAAAGAAAAACAGGAAAGATCTAGGAGACCTATCAGGTTTGATTCCAAACCCAGCAAAGAAAAGTGAATGGGCTGGAGTGGGGAGAGGGAGGATGGGTGAGAGGAAGAGAAGAAGAATGAATGGATGAGAATGCTTAGGGCTCATCGTGGACTGATGGGCTGCTGGGCTCAATCCAACTTTACCTCAGCCTCCTGAGTAGCTGGCACCTTACCTGGGTGACACTGAACCCAGCAATGGCCTTGTTCATTTTACTTGGCTAAAATTTAAGTTTAAAAGACTTTTTTTCTTTTTGAAAGAAGATTCTTTGGGCAGGGCATGGTCAGTTGTTAGGTGAACCCGTGGGTGTGAGAGGTGTCCTTCACTCTATTCCCTTCTCATTTCACAGCAGGCGAAGGAAGATAAAGAAGCTGAAAAGGTTGATTTTCGTCGCTTAGGAGAAGAATTCTGTCACTGGTTCTTTGAACTTCTTAATTCTCAGAATCCTTTTATGGGACCACCTCAAGATGAATGGGGCCCACAGCACTTCTGGCATGATGTCAAGCTTAGGTTTTATTATAATACCTCAGAACAAAACATGACAGACTACCAAGGAGCAGAAATTGTGAGTCTTCGCTTACTGTCATTAGTGAAAGAGGAATTTCTTTTTCTCAGTCCCAACCTTGATTCTCAAGGACTAAAATGTGCATCTTCTCCTCATGGATTAGTTATGGTTGGAGTTGCAGGCACTGTCCACCGAGGAAATTCTTGTTTGGGCATATTTGAACAAATTTTTGGACTTATCCGTAGCCCTTTTGTGGAAAATACTTGGAAAATCAAATTTATCAACCTGAGAATCATTGGAGGAAGTTCCCTTGCTCCTGGATCATCACTGAAACCATCTGTAACATTTGAGCAGAGTGATCTGGAGGCCTTTTATAATGTAATCACTTTGTGTAATAGCCCTGAAGAAAGACCTAATGTAAGGCAGATATTGGATAGTGGGACTGGAGACCAGGTTTTACATAGTAGTGATGAGGCGTTGTTGAACAAAAGGGAAATGAATCTGCCTAACCCTCTAAAGCATTGAGCACGGTCCCTCAGCCCGAAGAGCTGCAGAAACACAACAGTGACCATCTCTAAGCCACTGCAGATGTGAGAATTGACTTATTTTAGCTGAAATACCTTTTTGGACTACAGACTAATGTGAATACTTGCCTATTTCTACCTGAGTTACAGCAAATGTTCTGAGAACTTATTGCGGTCCACCAAATAAATCCCACTTTAGATGTTGTAGATACCTGTGTGCCTTAGAAACTTTAGGTAATATTTTCATTTTATTTAGTGACTAGCCTACTAATCTCTGTGCTTCCAAGTAGCAGGCATTAATATTATTCATGTTTATGGCTTATTGGATCTCTTACCAATGCATTTCACTAAAGTGTTGTCAAAAGAAAACAGCATTTTAACGATGTTTAATATAAGAAGTTTTAATTATATAAGATAAAGTTCAAAAAGTCCAATAACTTAGCCTGGGAAGAAAAACTCAGCTTCCCATTTGAAACTTCTTTTTCAGGTTACCTTTTCTAGTCCAAGCAAACATCTCAAAATCTGCTACTTTTCTGATTCAGTCCAGGCAGTAAATGCTGTTGTCAACACAGACCTTTTTACTGCTTAGGCTTCAGCCAAAAATTTACAGAATGTTTACTATAACACTTTAAAGATGGAAGGTATGTGTGGAAATTTTAAAGGTATGTGCAATCCCTAACAAATTGCTGTTCTTCTTCCTGATTGATCTTGACAGAGGTTGACTCTCCTCAAAATAACAAATCATAGACTTGTGCAAATAAAAACAAACAAATAGTAACAACCCATTTGGAATTTATAACATGGGTATGCACATATGCACACATCTATCCTAACAAAGTTTTCCACCTCTGTGTTACTCGATTTGAGAGCCAAAGTAGTCTTGACGTGTTAATTGTGTAGTTGCTTTTATGTTTATATCGCTCATCACCCAGTAACTAGTTGCTGATCCTGGATTTGGTTAGGAATTTTAATTTTTAAATTATCATTTGGAAGAAATTCTGGAAAATGTGATGATGTATTATACTTGTTAAACGTTTGCATTTGACTCTGATAACTGGGGAGACTGATGGTGGTTTCTGGAAGTAAGAGGTAAAGATTTCACCACCACCCCACCTTTGATTTTAGTGGCATGCCTCTATAAAGAGCACAAATCAGCATGTTGTAGCATAATAAAGAAGGGAAATTCTTAATTGTCTATTTAGATTCAGCCCCCAGTTCTTCAGGAGAGCTGGAGGCAATTTAACCACAGCCAAGCCGATTTTCCTGTTATTTTCTATATAGTAAGTATAATTAGGTATAAAGGAACAGTAATCTGCAAAACAGTTATCATGTTTATAAGACAAAACAACCAGATCACATTCTTACCCACCCTCTACCTCTACTTGGGTTTTGAAAATTCCATTTGATTTTATACTTCAGCTTTTCTTTTTTTTAAAATTTTTTTCCAGACAGTTTCTTTGTGTAGCCCTTGTTATTCTAGAACTTGATCTGTAGAACCAGGCTGGCCACAAACTCACAGAGATCTGCCTTCTGAGCACTGGTATTAAAGGTATGCTTCACACCTGGTTATACTTTCTTAGGTTTCAAGTCTCAATATAAATACCCTGAGTAAAGCAGAAGATTAAACATGATTCTTGGGCTGTTGTGTCACTACTATAGAAAGTTTTTGTTTGTTTGTTTTTAAAGTTATCTTCAGTACTGAATTTTTGAATTCTTAAAAAGCCTAAGGAAGGCACAAATTTCTACACAGCTTTAAATCAATTTGAAAAGTTTGAAGTATTGTTAGTAGATTGAGAGGATTGGCTACATTTTTCAGGTTAATATCTGCACTTGAGCTCAGAGCGGGTCCTCTGTGCAACAAAGTGATAAATGAGCAAACTCCTACACGGGGCTTAAGGTTTGGCCCCTGCGTGTTTGATTTAACATGTAGGTATGCAAAAACTTAGGTCTCTATTACTCAAACTTAAGAGAATAATGTATTTGGGTTTGGTGGGATATTCTTAAAACTGAGACAATCTAACATATATAGAGAAATAATGCAGAAAATATTCAGAGAAAGAAATCCAGAAGAATTGAAATCTGTTCCAGACATTTGGAACCAAGAGAAAATGCAAACATGGAATTCTTTGGCCCACGCCCTGTGTTATGTTAGGGAACAGCTGAAGCAAGCGTGGCTTTGCTGTATTCTATATAGCTAATACTTGAAAAATCTGGCAAGTTCAACTCTTTGCATAGAATATGGAATGATTGGTATACTGGCTAGTTTTTATATTAGTTTGATGCAAGGTAGTGCCTTGAGAGGAAGGAATCTAGATTGAGAAAATGTGTCAGAAGATGAGGCTGTAGGCTAGCCTGCAGAACGTTTTTTAAATTAGTGATTGATGGTGAAGGGCCCAACCCATTGTGAAGCCACCAGCTGCTGATGTTCTTGGTTTCTACAAGAAAGCAGGCAAAATAAGCAGGTAAGTAACACCCCTCCATGTTCTCTGCGTCGCTTTCTGCCTTCAGGTTCCTGCCCTGTTTGAGTTCCTGTCCTGACTTCTTTCAGGAATGAACAGTGACAGTGACATGGAAGTATCAGCTGAAAAAATTCTTTCTCAAGTGGCTTTGGTCAAAGTGTTGCATTATAGAAGTATTAGCCCTGATTAAAACTGTTGGGATTTCAGAGTTAGGGATCTGGGCTTTGTTAAAGGCTATTTTTTGCCCATAGCCTAATAGTAGGATATATAGTGTTAAAATGATTAAATAAAAATATTCAAATCTTGCACTGAATTTTAGGTGGGATTAAATTTAGATATTCTATTAGTATCTAAGATTATTTCATGTGTCTTAAAAACTGAAATGCCAAACTATAGGAAAAGGCCATGTGTAATTTACTAAGCTGCCTTGTGAACAACAGCAGATTTGGAGATATTCTGCTTTCTTCCCAGAAGGTTTCCAGAAGGTTTTCTAAGAAAAAAAGCTGATTACCTAATCTTACTAAAAGTTATAATGAAAACAAAACACCAGAAGACGATATAAAGAACTGCTTTAAAACATGATTATAGCCAGATGTGCGATTTTGACCCCAGCAGTTGGGAGGTTTACTGTTCTACTTAAGTGAGTTCAAGGACAGCCAGGACTACATAGACCCTGTCTCCAGACGCCAAAATGAAGTGAAATACTGATTATTAACTGTGTCTTGACCAAAATAGCTCTTTGCCTGAGTAGATCATAGAAATGAACAAAATCTGTATGATTAAAGTATGTTGGTTTCTTATTCTCACATCCCTACAGCACTTTTCCCGCCCTCCACCCTTCCCATCCCTTCACTACTCCATCACCTCTCCACCATACCCACTCCTGCATTTCTGCTCAGAAAACAGCAGGCCTGTCGGATATAACAGGTTACAGTAAGACTAGGCACAAACCTTCATATCAAGGCTGGAAGAGGCAGCCCAGTAGGAAGGAAAGGGTCCCAAGAGCAGGCAAAGAGTCAAGAGATACCCTCTCCCCATTCTCAATGTTAGAATAAACACCAGCCTTTTTTAGCATAAGGGGAGGGTGGTGTTCTTTCAAAGGTATTGGATTTTTCAACATTTCAGTGAGTTCATGAACCTTTGCAAAGCACATTTGAGTCCTGTAGATTTATTATAATCCATGATAGGAAACATCTATCATTTGTTTCCTGACTGCCCTCCTAATGTTAAAATTTTAGATAGCGCCTGTTCTTTTTTTTTATTTTTTTTATTTTTTTTGGCTTTTTGAGACTGAGTTTCTCTATCTCTGGCTGTCCTGGAACTCACTCTGTAGACCAGGCTGGCCTCGAACTCAGAGATCTACCTGCCTCTGCCACCCAAGTGCTGGGATTAAAGGCGTGTGCCACCACTGCCCAGTGAAAGTGCCTGTTATTAAGGCAATGGGATAAGGCTAATGAATGAAAGTGTAATCTCTAGGGAATTTTATACTTTAAAAAAATAATTGTTGGGGCTGGTGAGATGGCTCAGTGGTTAAGAGCACTGACTGATCTTCCAGAGGTCATGAGTTCAAATCCCAGCAACCACATGGTGGCTAACAACCATCTGTAATGATATCTGATGCCCTCTTGTGGGGTGTCTGAAGACAGCTACAGTGTACTTACATATAATAAATAAATAAAAATTTAAAAAAAAAATAATTGTTACTTACAAACTTTATTTTTCAAAAGATGTTAAGATTAAATCTACTGAAATCTACTGAAATTTTATCATTTTGATAAAATGACTGGTAGCATGCTTTGGAATAGGAGTTTCAAGTGTTAGCCTCATACTAAGACAATGGTTATTTATTAGTGAATGCATTTCGATGATTTTAGTGAATGGTTTCCAAGAACAGTAGTATTACTGTATAGTTCATATATATGGCCACAAACTGGTCCCTTCCTCATCTACTTCCTGCAACCCTTTCATAATCTTTGCATCTTTTCAATTTGGACATAGCATAATTGCAATGTTGGAAAATTGGATCTGGATTCTCAAGTTTATTTGAAATATATTAATTCTCTACTATTTATAAGTCATTGAGTCAAGTGTAAAACATCACTAGGTTGATTGGTTAAACATGTTGAGTTTAAAGTTTAAATCTCATTCTTGGAGTTTTGATTGCTTTAGAGTATGAATTTCTTTAGGTTGAAAGATTTTGATGGACCCTTTTGTATAATCATAAAGACAAATTAATTGAAAATTTAAACAGTCAGAAGGATTCATGCAATATAGATTAAATATAAATATAGAATATAACTTAACACCATTTAATTTAGATTTGTAAGGAAAACTTCCAAATTATGAGAATGTGTCAAATGTGTTAGTTTCATTTTGTTAGCAAGTCTTTTTAGCAATTTTTAAGTAGAACTTCAGTTATATATTAAAATTACTCTATTTACCTTGAATTTAATGTGATGTGTAAAGCCAGAACTCCAGCTCGATGTATGTAGAATCATGAAATGATTAGCCTAGAATTTTGAAACTTCCAAATTCTTCTTTCTGTTAATAATCTTTTTCTTTTTTAATCATTTAGTGAGCTTTATGATAAGTGTGTTAACACTAAAAACTGAAATTATTTATATCTCACTTATTAAGCTTAAGGACTTATAAGAAAAATTACCAAGAACCATAACTTGTCTGATGAGCAGTTTTCTAACAAAAATGTTGGGGGAGGCCTAGGTGTGTAGCTCAGCGGAATGAGTTCTTGTCTAGCACCCAGGAAGGCCTTGGGTGATCCCCAGCACTACGTAAATAGGTGTGGCTGTGTATACCTGTAGTGGCAGCACAGGGGAGGCAGTGGTCATAGGATCAGACTGCTCATCATCTTTGTCTGTATCTGAGTTTAATTAACACCCGCCTAGGATAAGAAAAAAAAAAAAACAAAATACAGAGGAATGCCTTATTGTCGAAGCATTTAGTTCATAAATTTACACATTCTAGCTTTACTAATGATTAGTGGTACATAGTTCATACTCCTATATTAAGTTGCTTTTGTCTCCAGAAGTTGAATGTTGCTAGAGCTATAGTATTTTACTTTGTAATCAATCCTCTTCCTCAAGTTACTTATATGGGATGAACAATAGATAACTTCACTAATTATATGACAGTTACCTTTCTGTGTATATTGAATGTATTAATTTATTTACTGTGGCAGTAGGAATAGCTGATGTTACAATGTAGGGTGGTTTTTTGTTTTGTTTTGTTTTGCGGTCTCAGCCTAGCCCTGGCTGTCCTGGAACTACTGTGTAGACCACACTGACCTCAACTCACAAGAGATCTGCCTGTCTCTGCCTCCTCGGTGCTAGCATTAAAGGTATGTGCCACTGCATCTGATGAGAATCTAGATTGAAACCCAAATACTCAAAGACGATTTATAATGATGCCATTACATTTTTGTATTGCATATAAAAGATTAATGTTTAGCTCTTTTTGACCAGTCATCCTCAGAATGAGCATTGCCATTTGCTGTCATCTTTTAAAAGCAAAGATGGCTTATATTTTAAGGGATATTTTCCATATATTTGTGGTGTGGTGTGTGTGTGTGTGTGTGTGTGTGTGTACACCATGGTTGGCATGCAGAGAGATCAGACAACTTTTGGAAATATATTCTCCACTTGTACCATGTGGGAAATAGATAGTCAGACTTGGTGGGAGAGTGCCTTTATTTGCTAAGCCATCTTTCTGGCTCCCTATTTTTATGTAAATATTTCTTATGGTTAAACATGCTTTAGGAGTTTTGAATACATTGAGACATTGTCATGTGTTTTGCATGGCTGCTTCAGTTTTGTCTTTGAGGACTTGACAAGGATGTGTTTTCTCCTCTCCTTACTGAGATCCTGTTAGCTTTCATCGGCACTGTTTTTTGGCTTAGTGTTTATTAGCAGTCCCTTACGTGTTATGAGTTTACCAAGTATCCTTCATCCTTGCTGGATGTTAAGTTGGGATTGCAACTGTTTATTTTACATTCTATTTCTATTCATAAGAGACTAAAGTTTAACAGGTTTTTTGTTTTGGAATTCCTGGATATGGGATTGAACCTAAGGTCATGGGCATACTAGGTAAGCATATTACCACTGAGATCCACCTTCTGAACCTTCCCCCCTTTTAAAGTTTATTTTGAGACAGAGCCA